TTCTTCGCAATCACTTTGGCAGCATTGTCTGTTAGTTATCATTATTATCAGATAGAGCCTGCCACGCTTGTTATCGCTAGTCACAAGGTGTGCCATCATCAGTACACAATATCGTCGTTTTAGAATGTGACCGTGCATTTCAAGAGACCCTACAAAGCCTTTCCAAGCGACCGTCAGGTGGCTCCATTAATTGAGCTTAATGCCTCAAGAATCGACTGCACAAAAAATTACAGCATATCTACGGAGTGAATGATAATGAGTGGGGCGAAGCGTCCGTCAGTGCGCCCACGCTCGTCCGCCTGTCCGTGCATCCATGCGTCCGTCCGTGTGTTTATGCGTCCGTCCGCACGTCCATTCATCCATGCATCTCTCTGTGCGTCGGTCCAATCATCCATGCATCCGTCCATTCATGCATCTGTCTGTCTGTCTGTCTGTCTGTCCGTCCGTGCATCGGTACGTGTACTTCTATGTCCATCTGTCCGTCCGTCCATTCATCTAGTGAATACTCGCAGTACCGCCTTCTCGCCTTTTTATAACACATTCATCATATAGAAGTACCGTCATCCAGCGGATATTCCAAGGACTAAACTAGAGGTGGCTACCTACTGCTACGACAACGACGACTACTACTACATACATCGAGGACGCACGACCCACGGCATAAGGAGCTTAGCCCCTAGAAATTACACCATCTCCCACTAAAGGGAACCATGTGTAGATGTGAAGCAGCGGACGCTAATGCTTACACTGGCGGCGACATTGACGCTGGCGCTCATCGCGGCTTTGCGCAGGAGACAAACCTGGGGAGGCACTTTAACGCACCCCATTATCAATCGGGCTATAGGGTCGACACATCTCCATAGGTCACAAGGTATGCAGCTTTGTACAAGCGCAGTGTTTCTCTTTGCTGAACAACACGCTAGAATACACAAGGGGAAGAAACCGCTTAGAACAAGACCCGGACCTCACATGGTATAAGGGGCAAATTTCTGCAGAATGGCAAAACACAGGACAGGATGGATGACGTGGCTATTATATATGCTCTGTCACTTTCGTGGCACGCGATAGTGCTCGAAGGCAATCGGGACGTCACATAGTGATTGTAGACTGCGACGAAGTACGAAATAAACTTGATGCCCAACTCTCTCCTCCAACTATACAGGAATGGGCAGAGAACCTCCACTTCACCATGTACGAATTCAGAAAACGAGCTTCATGCATCGAAAAGTATCCTTCTACAGACCAGCATTTGCTAAATTTATGAGACAGCCACAGAATGATTGTTCGGAGGCTTAGGAAAAAAATTCTAACGTACACATACAGGATGATATGGCAAGGTGCAACGAAAACACACAGACATACGCTGATGTGGCTAGGCGGAATTCACAGGAGACGTGCGAAAGCATTAACGGACATCTACACCTATCGAGAGTTTGGCAGATAATCAAAAACTTGCTTGAGTGCCCTACGAAGCGCCATGCTCTAGCCAATATGCAGCTCACTTTACAACTTGGCGACCACGAACTTCACAAAGCAGTACTTGACATTATCTATCCGCATACACAAGTGGAGGAGCTGCCCATTTGCGCAAGAATGAGCAGTTCGGGAATGAACTCGGGCTTCACTGCGGCAGAGCTATTCATCGCACTCGCATCCATGTCCAGAGACACAGCGCCTGGCACTGACGACATCACATATGGCATGTTACGAAAGCTCTCAACTTACCAACAAGCACATCTTTTGGAGTTTTTCGATGATATCTGGCGCAGCAGCGTGTTAGCTGTTGAATGGAAAATAGCCACCGTATGCGTCATTTCCAAACCGGGAAAAAGACCGGATTCTTTTAGTAATCTGAGGCCCATATCACTGACTTCATGTGTTGGCAAGGTCATGAAAAAAATGATCCCTAATAGGTATGAGTGGCACCTTGAAAACGACAAGCTACTCCAGCAACGTTTATTGGATTTCGCCGTCATGTTTCAGCTCAGGACGCAGCGCTGCTTATAAAACAGCATGTTTACTGCCGGAGTAGCAGAGTTCAAACACGCACCCTTGTTGGCCTTGATATCTATAAAGCATTCTACTACGTTGAACACGCTAGTCGATTGAGAAGGTGTATGAAACGCAACCAGGCCGGCGCTTCGCAGAATACATGCGCAGCTTTCTCAGTGACCGACAAGTTCAAATATAATTCCACACCAACGAAGCATCCGCTCAGACCGCAGACAACACGCCTGTTGACGTTTAGGAGTGAAGCTCTTGATGCCGTGGGTCGTGCGTCCACGATGCATGTAGTAGTAGTCATCGTAGTAGTTGTAGTAGTAGGTAGCCACCTCTCGTTTAGTCCTTAGAATGTCCACTGGATGGCGGTACTTTTATATGCTGAATATATGATGAAAAGATGCGAGATGGCGGTACTTGAAATGTTCACTTGATGGACGGACGGACGGGCGGACGAACGGACGGACGGGCGGACGCATGGATGGATGAATGGACGCACAGACGAATGTGGGGACGGGCGCACGCACGGACGCAAGTATGAACGGATGGATGGACGCACGGACGAACAGAAGCAAGAACAAACGGACGGACGGACGCTTCACCCCACTCATCAACATGCACTCCTTGTATATGCTGTGATTTCGTGGACGCAAGTTCACCAAGTACGGACCTAATTACTTTTGACCAACGCCTTGTATGGCTGTGTTGTTCATCGGCACCTCAACGTCACCACGCAAATGAAGAACAAGTAAAGCAGTATATACTGAGAGCTGTATATGCATCGTGATAACTGTTAAAGAAAGCACCTTATCACGCAGTGATGTACTTTCGCCCACACGACGTACCTTCCGATGGGCATCTTTCCATCCTTCCTCCTCCAGGTGACCGTCGGCTTTGGATCACCGTTGACTTTGCACTCGAACTCGACAGATTCTTCTGCAAGTGTTGTCACGTCTTCCGGGACTCGGACGAAGTACGGCTTCGCTGCACAGAAAAAAATTGTGATTGCCAGTGAAGGGCTGCGCGAACACTCATTTTAAAATTGTCTCTGGTTGCGTTTCTTGTAAGAAGAACGAAATTGCTAATCTGAAGCATGGTATGTGAGAACTTACCTATACAGATTAGTGCATGCCATTTAGAGTCTTTGTCAAGCAATATCACGGTGTGCAACATGTATGTGTCAATTACTCAAGACGCGGTGTCTCGGATACCGTGCACGCGCCGTAGGGCGTGTCAGTGGTGCTGGAAGAAACAATAAAATTAATCGACTAATAAACTGTCACAAACAAATAAATGTTATCCGTAGGGCAATAGGCGGCTTTCGTATCATCCAGCAAATATGTCTTTGCCTATTTAAGCATATCACCACCCTTTCCATGCTGTTTTTACGAAAAAGGAATGAACTTTTATATGTGAAAACAGTTTCCCGAGCAACGCCTAAGTATAATGATCTGGTGAGAGCGCGCCTTATGCCCAGGAACTCTCTGGCTTTCACCACTCTCCTGGCTCTTGCGACCAGTATTCGATGGTCCCCCAGGTCCACGAGGGCACGCTTGGCCGTCCACATTTAGGGGTCAAGCTCCTTAAGCCATGAGTCGTTCCCTCCTCCGTATGTAGTATGTAGCCACCTATAGTTCAATAGATGGCATTGTGTGTAAATGTCCTTGAGAATAATATAACTAGATGGCGTTAGTGGTTTTTAAAGTATATACACGAAGTGAAGGATGATGAGTGGGGCCAAGCGTCCATGCGTCCATCCGTGCTTCTGACCGTCCGCGAGTATGTCCATGTGTCTGTCTGTCTGTCTGTGCATGCTTCTGTCCGACGTCTGCCCGTCTGTGCGTCCATTCTTCCGTGCTTGCGTCTGTCCGTCCGTGCTTCTGTCTGTCCCTCCGTTCATCCGTCCGTCTGTCTTCCCATCCACCCGTTCACGCTTCCATTTGTCCATCCGTCCATCCATCCTTCTGTCCGTCCGTGCTTCCATCCGTCCGTCATTCTGTCCATCTGCCCGTCCATTCGTCCGTCCGCGTATCCTTGTCTCTATCCGTCCGCCCGGACGGACGCTTCGCCCCAATCATCATCATTCACTCCATGAATATGCTGTGCTTTTTTTATTCAAGAAACTCCTTAAGAACTGAAACGCAAAAAATCAGGTATGTACATGTACGCCTTTGTACTTCTGCCTGCGCGGCGGCTTCCAAAATGACGCTTCAAAAGGCGAGGCATTTCTCTGGACATAAAATGCTTATAGCGCACATTTACTAATCGCATCGTATGCATACACGTGCATCGTATATCATCATCATCATCATCATCATCATCATCATCATCATCATCATCATCATCATCAGCCTGACTACGTCCACTGCAGGACAAAGGCCTCTCCCGTGTTCTGCCAGTCAACTTGGTCCTGTGCTTGCTGCTGCCAATTCATACCCGCAAACTTCTTAATCTCATCTGCCCACCTAACCTTCTGTCTCCCCCTAACCCGCTTCCCTTCTCTGGGAATTCTGTTAGTTACCCTTAATGACCAGCGGTTATCCTGTCTACGCGCTACATGCCCGGCCCACGTCCATTTCCTCTTATTTATTTCAACTATGATATCCTTAACCCCCGTTTGTCCCCTAATCCACTCTGCTCTCTTCTTGTCTCTTAAGGTTACACCTAGCATTTTTCTTTCCATTGCTCGCTGCGTCGTCCTCAATTTAAGCTGAACCCTCTTTGTAAGTCTCCAGGTTTCTGCTCCATAGCTAAGTACTGGCAAGATACAGCTGTTATATACCTTCCTCTTGAGGGATACTGGCAATCTACCTGTCATAATTTGAGAGTGCTTGCCGAATGTGCTCCACACCATTCTTATTCTTCTAGTTACTTCCATCTCGTGGTTAGGCTCTGCGGTTATTACCTGCCCTAAGTAGACATAGTCTTTTACAACTTCAAGTGCACTATATTCAAGTGCATCGTATATACACGTATGTATATATAGAGAAAGACGCCACTCAACTGTGCACGGAGAGTAGCGCTGGTGGCGAGTCCCTCGTGCCGAGCATGTTGGTCGCCCGGCACACGTAGCGCCCTTCATCGGAGAGACGCACGTCGGCGATGAGGAGCGTGCCCTGGGTCAGGAGGCGTACGCGCCCCGTGCCCGGCTGCACCTGGACGCCGTCCTTGAACCAGGTGACTGTGGGCTCGGGGTGGCCCCTGGGAGGAACGCACTCCAGCGTTGCCAACTCTCCCGCCGCCACGCGGACGCTCTTGGGCAGCTGCCGGAACTCGTCGCGAAGCGCTGCGCGGGTAAGAGCGAAAGAGAAATTGAGAATTAAATTAGGAGACAAACAAGGACAATGGGATCACCATCATGTTGGCACTGAAAACAGGTACCAGTGCACAAAATTATCATCTTCACAGCGACATCAGTTCAAGGGCTCGAAACGATCCCTACGTTCATCCTTATTCATTTACTGCGGTGGCACTTATACTACATTATAAGTGAAAATACGTCGATAACGTCTTTGTTACCGTGGTGATCTGTACAAGGTCAAAGCGCGGCAAGTTCTTAGCGCACTGCGGATGTGGTGAGATAGAGGGAGGTGATTGATATGTGGGGTTTAACGTCCCAAAACCACTATATGATTATGAGAGACGCCGTAGTGGAGGGCTCCGGAAATTTAGACCACCTGGGGTTCTTTAACGTGCACCCAAATCTCGAGTAAGCACCTCATAATTACGATAACTGCCCGGTGCTTACTTTTTACTTTTTACCTGCCACGATGGTTTAGTGGCTAAGGCACTCAGCCGCTGATAAAGCAGGTCGCAGGATTAAACCCCGGCAGTGGCGGCTGGATTTTTGATGCAGAGGAAAATGCTTGAGGCCCGTGTGCTTAGATTTAGGTGCATGTCAAGAAACCCCAGGTGGTCGAAATATCCGCAGCCCTCCACTGCGGCGTCTTACATAATCATATGGCGGTTTGGGATGTTATATCCCAACACTTAATTAATTATAATTTTAAACAATATTTTTATGCCTGGGTTCAGCAAGACTCTACTTATGTATTTCTGTCACGGTTATCACATCGGTAAAATGCGCACTAACGGATGAGAAAAAAAACTACAAGTTCCGCCGCTGGGTATCAAACCCACCCCTCATGGTCCGCGATTACAGACAGCCAGAGTTCTACAACTACGCAATCGCCACAGACGCACGAGGCTTAAGAAACCCGCCTGGTATCTTTCAGACATGCTCACACGAACAGTGATCTCTGTTGGTGGGGCAAGGTGAGATGGAGTGGCGCCGTCACCTGTGAGTGGTACTGCATCATGAAACTAGAGCGGCGACGTACAGCGTCTTTAGGTCAGCGACAAATTCTCCCCGCATTAACATTAAAGAATCTCCCTAGACATACTTAAGCATTTTGCCTTTCGCTTCGTGTAAGGTCGTTGTAGAAGTGCAGCTTCCACAAGAATGGTGGAGGACGCTGCTTGCGTCACTGAGATCGGACGTGTGGCGCGTCGGCTCCGGAAATTTTTGCTAAGAACCGTGAAAATTTCAATGTCACCCTTCTGAAAGCGTCAAGAACCATCTCTCAACGTCAAGAGGGATCTGCTGACACCGATCCGACACAGGTGGGCCGAAGTGTAACCATTTTCGTCCGATCTGTCTTCCGGCCACGCCGGGAGGAGCTGACATCCACTGAGGTTAGTGTCCACTCCGGTGAAGCAGGGCCTTCCCTGAAGACTCTGTTCGATGGCGACCGCTACCCAACGCGGCTACGACCTAGCCTCCATGGCCTGGACATAAATTGATGTGCGAAAGGCTGTGGCCACCGAACATGAACCCGCCAACATCGAAGATGGAGGCCTTTTCCAGCTCGTGACACTACGATGAAAAGCTGCTCAGCAGATGATTCCGAAGCCGACCGCCGGGAAACCCAGCGGTCCCGTCTCCAAAGGCAGTGCTCGCATCGCACAGCTGAAGAGGAACCTGGTTAAGTGGCACCCACGCGACACTCCCAAGATGAGCGCAGATGATATCGTCGTGGTGTTGAAGGCCTGTGAAACCCTACTCGCGAAGACGGCCTTCCAGACCGAAGATCTGGGTGTTGCCGTTGCTCAGTACGTCGGTGGCGAAGCTGCCGATACCCTTAGCGTTTGGTCAGTGTAGACACAGAACTTGATTGTCTGCGGGACGCAACATAAGGAGGCCGCAAACAAATCGGCCCGTGATTGGAACCTCAACGTGGGATCTGGCTCCGTTCCTCTGAGGGGCCATGTCAAACTAAGGTGAAGTGTGTCGAGGCGTCATCACCGTGTGGCCAGACGAGACAATGGCATCACTTAAATGTAAAGTGGTTTGGCGCGAGGGCGTGCTGGCGTTCGTGAGAAAACTCGGAACATAGAACGTGGCGGTGCTCACTTTCGTGGGCTGGAGAGTGCCCCGCTACGTTCACTACAACTTTGAATGCAGACTTGTTAAGGAATATGAGAAGACCGTCACCGCCTGCCCCCTCTGTGGGACAATCGGTTACTTGATAAACAATTGCCCACATCCGGGTGTCACAAGATGTGGCTATTGTGGCCAGCGAGTAGGCGCCTCCGAGCAGGGTCTAGCTGAATACGAGTGCACTCCTTCATGCATGGTTTGTGGGGAGGCCCATCTCACCAGCTCCGAAAACTGCAAGAAAAAATTCCGCCGGCTTAAACGCCCAGAAAAGCAACAAGCGGCTCCTAAAAGGAAGACGAGCAGGGCTTCCGACAAAGGAGGTGCGTAGATGGGCTAGTCTGGACAAGTAACCGGGCCTGCTCCCGTCAACAAGGCATCTAAAAAGGTAAAAAAACAGGAATGCATCTGGACAAAGTGTCCAGACGTCATTTTCTCCGGAAGGGGACTTCCCACCCCTTGATAATAGCAAAGCGGCCACAAACAAGGTGAGCAACTGGGCAGGGGTCGCAACCACCTCCTCTCTCTCCCTATCACCTTTAAAACTCGAGCTTAAGAAGAAATTAGCCGCTCTACAAACTAAAAATGAGCAACTAGAGCAGCAAATTAATGCACTCCAAAGCGAAAGTACAGAATCGCTTTTACTTGGCACTCTGGATAGCGGTGATGAATCGGTCTTACTGTGCTCGGACAAGGAACCGGTGACGTATGGCCCTCTTATTAGCACCTTGGAAAACCGCATGTCGACTTTCGAAAAAATTGCAACCGACCAAATGGCACCGCTGCCAACGATTATTGCACAAATAATACAGGCACAAATGCAACAGCTGGTGACTACACTCACTCAGCAAATCACAGCTGCTGTGATCCGAAATGCCAAGGCCTGGATCCAGGCTAGTGCTAAATTATTTAGGCGGGCTAGTCCCGTGAAAAAGGTGGTTCGGCCCTGCAAAGTTTACCGTAATTTTGAGGAGGAAGGTACTGAAGACGTCTCGCTCGTTCTTGTTCTTCAGGCAGTTGAGAGCCAGCCAGCTTCAAATATTGCTAATCATGGCGCAGGGTCCTAGGGAGAACTAATTCAACACAGGAACCACTGTCAACCGTACAGCGGAATTGTAGGGGCTTCAGGGATGGCGCTAAGCTCACGTATTTTCGTCTCTACTCAGAAACATCCCAATATCTAGCAGCTATCGTGGCTTTACAGGAACAAGTGGCTTCAGCAAAAATTGCAGGATATAATTGCAGGATATAACGCAAAGCGAAAAGTTAAGAGGCTACGCCAAGCAATCAAAAAGAAAGGCAAGAATCCAGTAACCGCATCTAACCTAGCACGTGCTATTACAGACTTCAAACAAAAAGCTAGCTTCGCCAAACGGCAATATTTTACTTCAACGCTTCCGTGTTACATAAAAAACAACCCTCACCGATTCTGGAAACATTTTCGCCCTGCCGCTGAAACAAAGTCGTGCTTAAGCGATAGCGATAAAACAAACCAGGCCAATATCTTCAACGATTATTTTCAATCTGTCTTTACTGATGACAATGGCACCACTCCTGCGGCCTTGCCTACAGCCCGAATTCCCATTGAACCATTAGTTATAAGCGACCCCGGGATTCTTAACCTACTTTTGAATCTAGACACGAAGAAAGCCAGTGGCCACGATGATATTGCAAATGAATTTCTTTTTCGATACGCAGAACTGTGCAGTAAATACCTCGGCATAATTTATCGCAAATCTATAGAAACAGCAAAACTGCCATCAGAATGGAAAATAGCAAAGGTGATACCCATACACAAAACCAGAGATACCACTGTTCCTTCTAATTTTAGACCTATATCCCTCACCAGTACGTCATGTAAGATACTAGAGCATATAATCGCTAAGCATTTAACTATTTTTCTAGAAAACAACAATCTTCTGTCCCCCCATCAACATGGCTTCCGGAAAGGTTTATCAACAATCACGCAGCTTACCGAGGTTGTCCACGACCTTGCACTCAGTATAAACAACCGTGGCCAAACTGACGTAATTCTACTTGATTTAGCAAAAGCGTTCGATCGAGTGTGTCATACTAAACTAATTTCGAAATTGCAGAACATTATTGGGGATGGGGAAATTACGAACTGGGTAAGAGACTTTCTTATAAACCGGTCACAGTTCGTGGTTTTCGAAGGAGTATCATCGCGGACGGCTCCAGTTAAGTCAGGTGTTCCCCAAGGCTCCGTCCTAGGGTCATTATTATTTCTAATTTACATAAATGACATCACTGATAACATAGACTGCAAAATTAAACTTTTCGCAGACGACTGCATTATTTATAGAGCAATTAACAGTCCGGATGACCATTTATCTTTAAATAATTCATTGAGTAAGATTGCTCACTGGTGTGAGCAGTGGCCAATGTTAATTAACCTAACAAAAACAGTTTGCATGACGGTAACCAGGAAAAAAGAACCCTCCGACTTTACCTATACAATTAACGGCGTACCTTTACAAAGAGTTACGCAGCAGAAGTATCTTGGTGTCACCTTGACTTCCGAATTAAGATGGGATGCGCACATTAACAATGTTACAGCATCGGCTTTGCGTAAACTGCTTTTCCTACGAAGGCGTTTACCCTTCGCGCCGACAGATACTAGGCTCCTAACTTACACCACATTCGTGCGACCAATCTTGGAATACGCTAACACTGTGTGGTTCCCGCAAGGTGTTACTAATATAGCAAAAGTTGAACGGGTTCAAAGGAAGGCCATTAGGTTTATACATAATAAGTACAAACGCACCGACTCGCCCACAAACCTTTTAGAAACCTCCGGTCTACCCACGCTTGCAACAAGAGCAAAAATCGCGCGTC